CACCTCCAGTAAAGTCTCCACCAAAACCATATTACTATAAATCTCCTCCACCACCTTCCCCATCCCCTCCACCACCATACTATTACAAGTCTCCTCCACCACCATCTCCTTCACCACCTCCACCTTACTATTATAAGTCTCCACCACCACCCTCACCATCTCCTCTACCTCCTTACTACTACAAGTCTCCACCACCTCCTCCACATTATGTCTCACCACCATATTACTATAAATCTCCACCACCACCAGCTAAATCTCCTCCTTACTACTACAATTCTCCCCCACCACCAGCTCCTCATTATCCTGCCCCTCACCCTTATCCCCACCACCATCCACTCATAGTCAAGGTGGTTGGTAAAGTTTACTGCTACAGATGCTATGACTGGGGATATCCAGTGAAGTCACACGACAAGAAACATCTCAAAGGTAAAATTCTTTCAAATTTCCTAATTTTCTAGTACTATCAAACCTTTGTTCATTATAATTAACCACAAGGAAAAAAAAAGCAAAACCATTTTAGATAATTATTATTTCACATTTTCTTTTTCATTAGCTGGACTTTCACTTTGTTAATTTCAAATTTTTTTAGCACTTTGTCATGTGATTTAGAAGTTAAAATAAGGGTAGCAAGATCTTTACAATATTTTAATTTAGAAGACCTAAATATAACAATGGAAAGGAATCAGAATATATTCTTGTGGCAACAAATTTAATTTAAAAAACTGAATAGGCTAAGATAGTCTTTGTTTCTTAATTATATGTTAATTTGTATCTAAATTACAACAATCCTTTTCTATGATATATATAATATTATAGTTTTGTTGATAATAATATAGTATATTATTTGGGTTAGCTCAATTAAGGAAAGAGTAAATGAAATAGAAATTTTATATTCAAACCATATACTTTTATCATTGAAAAAATAGGCTTGGTTGAATACAAGCTCTCTTTGCCCATTTTGTTGTGCAGTATAGATTAGGTTGCAATCTTGAAGGAAAATAAAGTTGTCCTGATTAAGGGTTGCACTAATTACAATTGGAATAAACATAACAAATGCCTTATTGAAAGTTAAAAATATATAGAATTATATTAATTCATGAAAAGACAAAATTAGTTATTAAAGTTAGTGATGACTAAAGATAATCCATCATTTTGGTTGGCTTTTTAGCAACAATTTGATACTAAAATGATTTGGCTTTTATTATTGCACATGGAGCAGGTGCTGTTGTGGAAGTAACTTGCAATGTCGGTGAAAAGAAGGTTAAGGCTTATGGAAAAACCAAGATCAATGGAAAATTCAGCATCACAGTTGAAGGATTTGACTATGCCAAATATGGAGCCGAGGCATGCAAGGCCAAGCTCCACGCCGCACCCATGGGCTCACCATGCAACATTCCCACCAGTCTACACTGGGGCAACAAGGGTGCTAAGCTCAAGGTGAAGTCAAAGACCGAGGACGAGGTTGTGCTCAAGGCTAAGCCATTTGCCTATGCTCCAAAGACTCCTTACAAGGAGTGTGAAAAGCCGAAGCCAAAGCCCAAGCCTCCAACTCCGTACTACTATACTTCTCCACCACCACCTACACCCGCTTATATCTACAAATCACCACCTCCTCCACCACCAACATACATCTACAAGTCACCACCACCTCCATCCCACCCATACAAGCCACCAACTGAGCCACACAAACCACCACCATACTATTACAAATCTCCACCTCCACCATCACCCACCTACATTTATAAGTCACCACCCCCACCAACCCCCACTTACGTTTACAAATCACCACCACCTCCATCTCACCCATACAAGCCACCAACTGAGCCATACAAACCACCACCATACTACTACAAGTCCCCACCTC